AGTGAAGCTGAACTCTGGCTTCCAAGAGGGCAGTCCTCCTTGCACCTGCTTCACACAGCACCCTGCAAGCCCAAGGGTGAGAAGTTGCACACACTGCTCCCCCCACAGCCCGGGACACTGCCCTGTCATTCTGACTCCCAGTGGCCCTCCAGGACTGAGGAGGAAGTCCCATGGGCTCCAGAGGTTGTGGCTTTAATGGGAGCCGCAGGATGGAGGGCACTCTCCCACTGCCAGGCTGGGTAGGCTGGGTGATGGCCCGAGGATGGCCACATCACTTCCCAGCACTCTGGGTGACTCCACGGTTGGTGCCCAGTAAGAAGCTGAACTAAAAGAAGGAAACTGGCTGCTTGTCACTGCTCGCTGAGGGGAGGGGAAGGCAATGCTCAGGCCCCTGGGCCCAGCGTCAGCTGGACCTCAGTGCAGTCTTCCTTCCAGAGGCATCTTACTGAGAGCTGCCAGGTTCTGCAGGGGGCACAGTAGCATCCCTTAGGGCCCTCAGATAGGCTGAGTGAGAGTGGTACAACCGTCTGAGGAGGGCATTCTTGTCTGGTGCCAGGCTCACTTTCAGTTCTCCCCACACCAGCCTCCCTCAGGCACCTGCCAGGCATAAGACCCCAGCCCCGCCACCTACCCACAGCAGCCTCCGTCTACTCCCACCACAGCCTGACTCACAACCAGTAAACATGAAGTCTGTGTCTTGCCTGGGCCAGAGCCCTGGAGGGCAGGGTACTGCCCTCTTTCGCAGAAAAAGATCCCGGCTGGTGCTGGCCACTCAGTCAGACACCAGACATAAAGACATGCTAGGAGTCACTCAAAGCCACGCCAGGTGGGCATGGTGGGTCACAAAATATGGAGTAATAATATACTAATACACTGTGCTGTTTAGGCACTAAGTGCCCCGAAGCCCACACACAATGGGATCACTGAGGCCGTGTGGCCCTCCCTGGGCCCCGCCCAGCCCAGGGCCAGTGGGGCATTCTGAAGAGGGGCCTGCCCACGTGTCCTGGAGGCAGCACCTGCATCACTGACAGGCACACGCTCCAGTATGTCACCAAGTACTACTCCCTAGCCACCTTCTAGCCATGTCACCTTGCTAGAATTGCTTCGGGTCCCCAGACCGCTAACCTTCAGCCTGGCTGGTCACAGCAGCCCCTCAGAAGCAAAGGCTGTTCAACTACTTCTGTGATGATCTCCCTGTGGTCTGTGTGATCCCAATGCAGGGACCAACCTTACAGGACAGGGTAGAGCTGCCCCGGAGGGCTTCCAAGACTGTCAGTCTTTCTGGAAGCAGATCGCAGGTCTTCTATCCCAAGGTACAGTGGGTGGGATTGAGGCACAATCTACCCGAAAACATTCCTGGAGGTCGGCCACCCCCCAGGTCCCAGGCGACTGAAGTCTAATGCTTGCAGTTTCTAGTACCTCCCCCCCTCCTTCCAGGTGATGGCTGAAATTGAAGCCCAAGTCTCGGTTTCGTGGTGACTTTCATACTCTTTGTTCTAACTGTGGGAAACCACCACCCTTAACCATCAGAAATCATCTCTCAGTGGGAAAGAAGCCTGTATAAACTCAGCAATACGGTTGGTTTCACTTCAGTTTTCCTGCCCTTGATGAAAGAAAACCCAGATGTGTGGCGGCAGCATGTCCGGCAGGTAGATCATTCTCTCTGCCCAGCGTGCAGAGAGAGATTTCCGGAAGGATGTCTGCCTAAAGCCAAAAAGAGCCATCTCTGAAGAGTGTA